GCATGAGGTCAGACTTGATGATCTGCTGGTCCTTTCTGGCCTTAAACTCTGTGGCACTTGTGCAGCACCCACTAAAGTCAACGAGATCTATGGACACCAGAGGAGGGAATTAGGCCTCTAAGCAGCATTAATAAAGGGAGGAATGACATATCTTGACATTTGCGTAGTGTGAAATCATCTACATCTATTTTTAATCAATAAAATGAAATACTGCTGTCTCCCCCCACAGAAAAACAGCAAAAAGTATTTTAAAGGTTCATATTAAATCTTGCGAAATCCTAGGCAGCAGTGCATTGTGGACTTTCTGTGAGGTAAATCTGATACAAAAGATACCCTGAGCAGAATGTTGAGGTGCTTCAGTGAGCAGCTGTCTGCTGCTGTTGCCTTGTGAAACAAAGTGCTTTGTGATTTTTGGAAGCTGCTAGCTCTTGCAATAGATGATAACATACTTTATGCTGTTTTGGGGCAGCCAAGCCCCTTTTTTTATTCCACCTCACACACTGTAGTTATGGTGAGCATCCTGTTGCTGTAGCAGAGAGCAGTTGCTAATGCTCTCAAAAACAATGTGACAGGATTGCAGCTGTGTCCCTTCAGCAGGTATATTCTTGCCTGCATGCTGACTTTGCCCTCCTTATTTGACACGCTATCCCTGACATGGTTGCATAAGCACAGACGGGATTTACTCCCGAATAGTGAAAGTTTTATGACTTTAGCTTGTTTTTGCTAATACAGAAACAAAAATTAATCGCAAAAAGGAGCACTTCAAATGGTAATTACATATTAATTTGCATATAAAGTCATATTACCAGTCATGTTTTTTATATTCTGTAGGGTTACAGTAAAATCAGGTGATTCCAGGCTACTGACAAAGTCATTGTTGAGAATTAAATATCTCATACTGAAGAAGGGAACATCTCAGGAATGTGGGTCCAACAGTTACTTAGCAGGGGCCCTGTATAAACTGTGCCAAAACTCCATGAGATGCCGCATATTGAACATCCAAATCCAACATTGTTTTTGGAGTAAATCTCCACACAATTTGGGATTGAGTAGGAACCTGTCAGTCTGGGGCCTGAGTCACCAAGGTACTTAAGCAGGAGTCTGACTTTAAGCATTGGAGAAGCCACAGTGCTATCAGACACTTAAAGTTAGGCTCCAGTTTAAGTACCTTGCTGAACTGGAGCCTTAGTAAGCTATTTAGGAAGTGTATTTGTTCATTTGGGAGCTTTCTCACAGTTTCACTCTAACTGAAAAATTAGATTTTAGCATGATTACCCTACTAAATGTTTATTGCTGCCTCTGACCATAGTGCAGGATTAATAGAAACAGAAATGTTTCTCCATGATCCCATAAATTATTTAGTACAAATCTGTTTTAGTTTAAAAACCTATTTTTCTTTAATACACAATTCTTTGCAAATTACTTCTATGCCCTTTAAGTTTAAAAAGAATCCATAAAACAAAGGCTGATTCCTTTAGAAAAAGATAGTGTTACTTGTGCTGTGTGCAAGTAAAATATTTTTTAAGTGGCTTGAGCAATAAAAAAACAAATTTACAAAGTTTATTATAGATTGTGCCATCTGGATAAATTGAGTTTGATGTTTTCCAATAGATAACATCTGTGTATTAGGCAATGCAACCTGGTGTGTTATCCTCAATTAGTGCTTATAAAACAAACACATTTTGTCCTTGTGCACAGCTTCCACGTATATATTTTTAGGTTTGATGATGATGCCACTTGGAAATTACTTTTAAATGAGATTTTTTTTAAAAAGAAAACCTGTTAGAAATAACGTAAGTGTGGGGAAATATCCAAGAACTTCAGAGTTATTAAATGCAACAAATGCCATCACAAAGCTGCATGTTGATTATTACAGTATGGTAATTAGATAACAAAACTGTTGGCTAGGTTACAGTCCCCACAGAAAGCTAAACACCGAATGCAACACTAGAGGTTAGGGTGTTTCTCCTCTAGGTGGTGGTATCTTATTAGTTTGAGTTGTTTTGGCTCACTCTGGGATTTTTTCTTGACACTTTTTCTTGACAAAGGCACCATCAGGAATGTACGAATTCTTCAGGGATGCCTAACCCATGCTAAATACTGACTTTGCTAACCTTACCAAGTAAAGGCTCCACCACGACAGGCCATTAGTTATCTCAAAAAGCTGCCTGAGAATGGTAAACCTTAAGGATGCTGAGTTTTCATAACCACACAACTCTAAAAAATTTTGCTAACTTATTAAGGTCTTCTACACTGTAGCATTTTTGTTTTTCAGATTGTTTCTCAAAAAAATGCTGGGTAGCTTATAGCCACTTCATTAATCATTCACTTTTTAGAAAGCGACTGATTGACCTCAGTCATGAGCATCCCTTCACTCTCTCTGCAATCATTAGGGTACTTATGGTAACAGCTATCAAGGATGTATTGTATGATACTGAGGGTATGTCTATACTACAAGTGCTGCAGCTGCAGCACTGCAGCTATGCCACTGTAGTGTAGATACTTAATACGGTGATGAAAGGGGCTTTCTGTTGGTATAGTATATCCACTTGGTAGCTATGTCAGTGGAAAAATTCTTCCATCAACCTACTTGCAACTATTGTGGGGGTCAGTTCCACTTAATTACATCACAACGGACACACCACTTTTCTTATTTACTTTAGGTGTATATGGGGCCTAAGGATTTTACCATGGGACTACAAGAGTATTACAGTGATATAGGGTGACTGTGTTTCCCTATGCTGAATACAGGACACCTGGTAAAATTACTTCCGAGTCAAATGGCAATCAGTCATAGAAATGTTCAAATTAACATCAAGTTGACTGAGCCCCTGTTAGAAACAAATATTGCATAGTTGGATTCTTTTTATTTACCTACTTATCTTTAGGGCTTTAGGGTTCACACAGGGAGGGGTAACACACACCCCTGCCCCTCACACATACGGGGAGGGGTGACGCACACATACTCCCATACACCTCTCTCACACACCTCCCTGCCTGATGCTCTCTGCCCTCCTGAGGTGACACGTTGGGGGTGGGGGGAAGAGACACGCAGGGTCACATGCCCCCCCCCCTCCAGATTTCTGCCAGGGTTCACACCAGAATGTGGCCAGCAGCAGCCTTTCATCACCGTGCAGAAGGGAAAGGATGGGAGCTGCTTCCAGCTGCAGGGGAGGAGGATGGGGTGGGGGGAAAGGGATGACCTGGCCTGTGTCTTTGCAGAGCTCATCTCTTCCCTGCCCTCCCCAGCCCCACCCCCCACCGCTCCCATGTGGCTGGAAGCTGCTTGTCCCTTCCTGCACGCACAGTGTCAAAAGGCAGCTAACCCCTCCAGTCTGCTGCTGGCCACTGACATAACCTAACCGCCTCCGGCTACAGCACGGGCAGGAAGGGGTTAAGCCCTAAGGATGCATTGTGCACCAGGGCCCAGGGAACCTGACTGCAGGAGCTTCAGCAAACCGAGCCAGAGAGGTGGCTCAGCAGGGGATAGAGCAGCCCTGTGCCCCCTGGGGGCAGGACCCAGGGCAGGGAGAGGGGTGAAGAGGGTGCTAAGCCCCGGCCCGGGGGCTGCTGTGGATCCTGCAGGTTTGGGGAGTGAAGAGGCTGGAAATCGCTTCTCTTCCCTCCTTCCCCCCACCGCCACTCCAGAGCTTAGCTGAGGGGCGGAGAGGTTTCCCCGTGCCAGCGCTGTCTGGAGCTTTGGCACATGCAGGGCTCGGTTCCTCTTGGTCAGCGCCCTGCATGGAGGGTCTTGGCCTTTCCCAAGGCACCGGCCCAGCCAGAAGCAGTGGGGGAAGGAAGAAGCCTGCTGGCCAGGCTGTTGGTGAGCTCAGTGCTTCAACCAGGGGCTGGTTCTCCGCACAGTGCTGGGTGCGGGATGCGCCCTGCTGGGGGGAGGATATGGAGGAGCAGCAGGGTTGGGGGTGGAGGGAGAGGCAAAGTAGATAGTCGACAGCGAGAGGGGAAGCACGTAAAAGGCCAGTGGCTGGGCAGCAGAGGCAACATGTAACTGTCCGCCGTCTGGGACCTGCCCACATTCACCAACCACCGCAGCTCGCAGCCAGTGCCAGCCAGAAAGGGGATGGGGAGCTGGGCCCTGCTGGCCAAGAGCTGGCACGCAGCGGGGGCTGTGCTGATGGACCAGCAGGGGGAGTGGCTGACCCCATGTGCTGCATCTTCACCCCGCCACCAGCCTTACACACCCACTCCCATCATTGGCCACTGGACCCCCCACTCACCGCTGGTGGCTGGTGAGCAGGGATCCGGCCAGCAGCAGGACCCACCAGTACTTATGCGGGGGAGACAGAAAATATGGGGCAATTTGCCTGTTTTTAAGAAAAAGTCAGGACACCTGCAGGAGGGCTTAAACATGGGACTGTCCTTTTAAAAATGGGATGTCTGGTCACCCTACAGTGATATGAATCTTTACCTATTTTCTAGAGATAGCATTACTAACATTCTACCATCATTGTGAATTTCTATGATGTGTCCATGGAAGGAAATCCATGAAGTTATTTCAAACTCATGCCTATAAAATCTTATATCACAACACATCACCATGAACTATGTACACACACCAGCAGGAAGGGGAGATTTTGAGCTTTCCACTGGGACACAGAATACTTGCTTCTTGTAGTTTCTGAAATGCCAGATGTGAAACATAAGATAATGTTAAAGCTATTTAAAATAACAATGAGACCTTTCTAAGACATTCATCTCCCTCCAGTGCCTGTAAAGTTGTACTCAGCATGACCAATATATCTAGGGGAGGGATTTCATTAATAGCACCAATTAAAAAAACCACAACCTCAAAAACAAAACGCACCTTTCTGTACACTGTGTGTTGGTACTGTACAAAGGCATTCTGACTCTGAAGTCAATGGAACCATTTGTGGAGTAAGATGTTGCTGAACAGGAGCAAGGGTATCTGAATCTGGCCTATAATGAATTTAACGGAATAGCTTTCTCATCACTACCTCATCGTTATATGTCATCTGCAGGAGCATCCTCAGGTGCCATTGACTTATTACCGACTCCTAGTGCAGCAACTAACTGGACAGCTGGGCTTCTGATAGACAACAATGACATGATTTTTAAATTTGATGGAAAACAAGGAGCCAAAATTCCTGATGGAATAGTACCAAAGAATTTAACTGATCAATTCACTATCACTATGTGGATGAAACATGGACCTAGTCCAGGACTGAGAGCTGAAAAAGAAACCATTCTTTGCAACTCTGACAAGACAGGTGAGTCTATTTATTTTAAATCTTTTTGGCAGAGCTCACAGTGGCATGGGTGGAGTTTTTCTTCCTATCAGTTAATATATTTTGAAAGGAAGCCATAAATCTTGAGTATTGTGTCTCTGAAAGTTTTACACATTCCTTAGTTGGGTGATAACTGAGCTCAGTGAAAGTTTCCGCAATACTTTTGCATTTCTCAAAACTCATCTAAGGATTTTGTAGAGAGCGGTTGACAAAATGGGGAAAATTAGTTCTAATTTTTCATGATTTAGATTTGGGAAATTAGTGTTATGTTAACTGAAATCAGATTAAATATTAATTGGAAAACTGCTGGCCCAATTCATCCATAAACTAAATGGATAGGACCTAATCCTCAAAGGTGCTAAGCACCTGCAGCTTTCACTAAATTCATGAGGAGGTACAATTCTGAAATAAAGTAGAATGTTATGTCTGTTGGTTTGTTTGAAGTGTATATTGCCTCCTTATACAGGCAGAATTTTTATTTGAGGCAAATTCAGCTAGACAAAGCAATTATGACACTTCAGTGGTTTAAGCCTCTTTATTTGTTATATATTTTTAGAAATGAATCGACACCATTACGCACTTTATGTGCACAACTGTCGTCTGGTGTTTCTGCTGCGTAAAGATTTTGACCAGGCTGATACGTTTCGCCCGGCAGAGTTCCACTGGAAGCTGGATCAGGTACTTGGGCTCCTTTTTTTATCTGTATGTAACCTGCACTTACAAGGGATGGTTCTCTGTCCCGCTGTAAAGGAAGAACCCCGAAGAGGTTGCTGCAAGCTTTGAGCTAACTGTTTTCATCTCAGTGTGGTAGAGGCTTGTAATTTTAGATCCAGAGGTCCTGGGTTTGATTCCCATTGCGGACAACCACACAGGGGCATCACATTACATGTAGTTCCTAAAAAAGTCCTCCATTCACCATCAGAAGCCTGTTTTATTTGCACAACAGAACTGATTTAGACCTTTCCAATAAGCACTTTGCTGATGTGGAGACAAGTACCTGATGGTGCATGTTGACTTGTCTTTCCTAGTCTGTAGACTCCTATGTTCAGTTGCTGTTGTATTTAATTTTGCTTGATTATGAAGAACACTTTATGGAGAAAATATTAAGTAGCCGAAAGTTGCCTTCCAGAGAATTATTAATTCTAGTTAAGATAAGGATGATGCAAACACACATTTTTACAGACTAATATTTGCTTAAACTGAGTTTTTTGTAACATATTTTTGAGCACAAAATGTAAAGTTCACATACAGGTATAGCATTATGCTAATTGTTTAATCCCTTACTTTCCTGTTAAAATGGACCAGAAGGTTGACCTGAATCCTGATTGCCAAATATATCTAATAGGAACCCATTTAATGGACATAGCACTTGTTTTTTCACTTCTGGTATCCAGATGAGGGTTAGTTCTGGTATACTTGAAATGAAGAAGCCTTAACATGTCTCAAAGGATGAATTTACACTAATGAATGGTGAACCTTAAAGGTCTTGTAAAAATGGTTTAGTTTGATACTATTGTGTTGAGTGCTATAGAAATATTTATAAGTCAATGCCATGGAACTGAATTGCTACAGTAAAAGATAAGTTCTGATAAGCATTCAAGATTTTAGAGATATTTATTCAAAACTTATGTGTACCATTTTGAGCTGGAAAGCTGAATTAAAATCACCTTGTGTGCTGCTTTGTTTTCTTGTTTTGAAGCAGATTTTTTTTTTGTCTTTTGAAGAGGGAGGAACAGTATCTTTGAATAAGTAAACTATCATGAAATTCCAGTAACTTAGCCATGACAAAGCACTGGAAAATGTGCAGTAGGGGACAATACTCCATTGATAGGGAGATGTCTAATAGTCTGAGAGAACTTTTTCATCTCTACTACAGTCTGTGATTTTTTTGCTTCACACACTTTCTCTCTCACTTCCACACTTTTTTCAGATATTAGGCTAAAAATTAGACACACTTGGAAATATAGAAATGGCAACGACTTTACAATTATATTTCCCTCTTACATTCAAAAATAATGTATATCTTTAACTGGACTCTGGATTCTTTTCTTTTTTTCATATCAAGTCATATTTTTGCTTGTGATTAACATAGATGATGATTAGCAGGCAACATACATTCTCCAGGTTCGTATTTTGATGCTAACATTTCCTTCCTCTACCTAGGGCAGAGTGCTGTTCACCTTCCAGATGCTTTGGTACACCTTTCCTTTTAGAGTTTAGGGTATTATATGCTGCTGTTTCAGAACAATACGTGGAGCCAAATCAGAGTGTGTGTGTGTGTGTGTGTGTGTGTGTGTGTGTGTGTGTGTGTGTGAAAACTGGATAAATACAACTGCTATCCAGTGTCCAACAAGGGGTGAATGAGGGCCTGAGGCTGTGAGTCAAATTCTCTGTGAAGTCAATGGAGCTACGACAGTTTACACGAGCAGACTGGCCTCACATCTCTAACTGAAGTTTAAACATCATCCCAGCTATTTAGCTACAGTTCTTTGATGTGTATCTTGAAGGTGCTGGAGGATTTCATCTAGAGACAATTGAATGAGCCCTTAGGGACAGTTTGAGATTAACATGGCCATGCTCTGAGTTATGTCTCTGGAGAGAGCTGAAGAGCTTCACTCAGTTGAAGGATCTCTGCAGGAGCAGATACCATTAGAAGGGAATCCAAACCAGTAATTGGCATATTATCTTTCCATATTTAGTGCTCAGTGAAATACTATGAGCCTGAATGTCAGTAGAGAACCATTTTTATACTTAAAATATGCCCTCCATATTATCATATAGTATCAGTCATTGACCAACATTGAAGATGGACTGAAAATTTTTATGTAGGGGACAGGGACCCTATTACTTAAAAACCATTCAATGATAGAAGAGACTTATTAGATCAACTAGTTCATTTTTCTTTTCTCTCCTAGTGTAGGATAATACCCACAATATATTTTCTAGTGCTCTTCCCTGCTGAAACAACACGGTAAGTGTAAAGTATACATAACATTTGTTATGGTTAGGGCAACTAGGTTTCTGTGACCCTTACTTACTATTGTCCCAGTCGTACTTCAGGAGGCTTTGGCAACTAGGAAAGGTCACTTCTCATGTAAATGCACTCCCTGTTGCTATTCCCTCTGGCCTTCCAGCACTCTCTGCAAATTCTTATAGAACCCAACCAGATTGAAACTCTGGGAAAGCTTTTCAAAGACAATTTCAATGGAATGTAGGTGCCTAATCTACTGAAGTGAAAATCCCACTAGGTGACTTTCTGCTTTTTTTAAGGTACCTGAATACCTTTGAAAATCTGGCCCTCTGAGCTCAGTTAGGCCAGGATCTAGTACATGACCTCTCAGTCTTTGAAATGAATACTTTAAGTGCTAGTGTGATGGAACCTGGGCTGTTTTGGATTATTAACCAGATTCTCACAACCTGGAGCACAGTGTAATGTGGAAAGCTGCAGACTTCATGGCTTGTACACAGTAAAAACCAGAGGTTGATACAGTGGGCCCAGCACGGAGCATCTGTTAATTGAAAGTAAACGGTGGGAGGATATTTTATTGGGCATAAGGTACTACATGGCGGTGACAACAATTTGGTGCTCATTTGAGCTGAGAGGAGTCCAGTGACCTCAGGTGCAAGAGGCGCATGGATTATTTTTCACTAGTGCTGTGGAGCAATAGAATTCATGATACCAGATTCTAAGTGTTCCCTATTTAGCCCACAAGATGTTTGATGTTCTGAGGCAAAGATCACAGAAGGCAGCTCGTTTTCATCTTGAATATAATTTCTTAGGGTACGTCCAGACTACCCGCCATATTGGTGGGTAGCGATTGATTTATCGGGGATCGATATATCGTGTCTCGTTAAGACGCGATATATCGATCCCCGAACGCGCTCCCCGTTGACTCCGGAACTCCACCGGAGCGAGCGGCGGTAGCGGAGTCGACGGGGGGAGCCGAAGAAGAAGTGAGGTTTTTACCCACGAAAGCTTATGCCCAAATAAATCTGTTAGTCTTTAAGGTGCCACCAGACTCCTTGTTGTTTTTGTAGATACAGACTAACACGGCTACCCCCTGATACAAAGAAAATCAGTGTGAATCTCATATGCACACACTGTTAGCATAGCTGCAACATTTCCTAAACAACTGAGTGACAGATGCTCAGTAGGTAGCAGCTTCCCTATCTTCTGGCAACTCTAGCTTATTGTGAAGCATAGGTGTTTCCTTCATTTCAATATGCAAAATCAAACCATTTGTTTATTTTTGTAAATTTCCTATACAGAAGTTTAAAAGGACACTTGTGAGGCATTTTCCAGAGCTTTTTAAATCCTTTCTTTTCTCAGAGTTAATTATAGAGCCCAATTTTCAAACTTTAGTATATATTATGAGCTGATTTATCACAGAGTCCATATAATGGCACCTAAATTGGCACTTAGCCTATATAGCCATTTCAGGCAACTATCACATCATATGGCTTAGAAACTCCATATGTGCCTAATGTGTATCATGCAGTTGCAGTTATTTTGGGGAGGTTAGGTGCTTAATATTAGAGTTATAGGCTATAATTTTTGAGCCTTGGCTGGTGTGGGAAGAGTTCCCCCCATCTCAATCTACTTTATACTACTGCTTCTGCCAGACTTCCTCTGACCCATACAGGATTGAGTCCAAATAATGATTTGTATAATGAGCCATAGTTTTAAAGCCTTTTGGTAACAGTGGAGGACATAGCATTAAATAGGCCAATGCACAATATATTTCACGCTCTGTGCACCATGGATATTGCATTTTTCATGCTAGTATGCAAGACTTAATCAAAGCCAAGACATTTCCCCCCTAAATCAACATCTAAAGCAGTAATCTTATTTTGATCTTTCAGACAGGGACAGAATAATTTTTAATTCAAACTCTAATTATTTTCTGCCTCTTGCTATTTTGCTCATATTGAATCTGGTCCTGTAGCCCACTGGCAAAATCTTCATTGAGTACCTGCAAAAATGGCTGCACTGCAGGATCTAGGAGCATGATGCAGTCATTCTAAATTGGCAAAAATGGATAAAGATGCAGAAAATAGTTTTTTTTTCAAAGTCAAGATAAGCTGCTCTGAATAATCCAAAGCGAGTCTAAAGCACAAATTGTACTAAAACAGCCTCAAGTTTAGTTTTATCATTCTGAAAACAGTGATTGTTCATAGTAAAAGAGTAGGTTATTCAAATGAATCAGAATATAATGTGTTCTATCTGTCTATCACATGTGCACATGGTGTTGGGTAGGCCTCCATTTACAGGTAACTGACTCATTTACAATGTAGAATAGGAGCTTACACTTGATAGTACACACCCTTGTCCTTTAATACACTGCATTTCTATTTACCTTGGAAAGTAAGCAACTATGCATGTGTATGATAGTGCTTTAGCTGATTTTCCAAGCTATGCATGCTGTGTTATCATAGGGCAAAACTAAAGGGATTGGAATTGGATATATAGCCTTTCAGATCCAGGGTAATAGTTTGAATTAGTTTTGTCAGTAGTAGCTGAAAGTTGTTACTATATGATGGCTGTTTAGCCTATATGAAATTAGGAAATAGACTGAGACTACTTCCTAGAGGACAAGTGACCATAACATGAAAATCATAAAAGGCATCTTTATTGACAGACTCTGCAGAGAGGACAATGAGTGAATTGGTATGGAGAC